GTGTCCCTCTTAGAGTCTTATGGAAGCTTTAGTTGCATCCTGTTTGCTTTAAAAGAGTTTCCCCTCATTCTACCTCCTGCCCCATGCAACTATCAACTCAAAGGCAGTACTGTTCCTGTGTACTGCCTTACTGCAGGGCTCAGTGTGCCTGTGTGCACCCCTAGCACAGCTGGACACAGGCAAGTGGGAAAACTGCGGGCAGCACTTGCTCTCTGCAGGACTTGCTCTGTTAGTTTGTACACAAACCTGTTGAGTTGGAGCTGGCTCTGGTCCAGCCAGCTTGAAATGCAGGTGAGAACAGGCTTATCAGTAAAAAAACTGGTTCAACATCATACCCAATATATATTGTTAAGTCCATGTGGAATTTTTTGTCTGGATTTTAAACCAATTACATGGGATTTTTGTCAATGCTAAGGCCAAATATCTGATGGTGATAGTTGTGATCTTTCCTGCATTAGAAAAGAGATAAGCATAGTTTTTCTAAGAATATTCAAGGCTTGTGACTATATTAAAATCTCATAGATTTTTTATATAGAAGAGAATTGGGATTTTTAAAAAGGCTGATTGGCACAGTTATGTTTAGTTTTATTTGTAGCTTTTTTATTTTGTAGCTTTTTTGAAGTGGCAGAACATAGGAGGGAGCAGGAAGGTGGCTGACTATGACTGACTTTACTGGAGTCAGATGAAAGAGTTGCTGTAATGTTAAGCAATCTCTTACCCACCCCTTTATTTGTTCATGTGTCTGTCATGTCTATGTGCCATCCCCTTGTGTTATCTGTGTGTGTGTCCCCTCCCCCTTATGCCCATACTGGCAGAAAAATGGTATTGTCATTGACATTTCCATAATTTGTAAACTTTTTGGCCATTTTGTTGTCTCTTTGGTAGAGGCCAGGTCAGTGAACTGTATTATCATTTATTGCAAACAGTGGACATGAGATAAAGGCAAACTCTTACTTTAATAATAGATGAACAAAAAAGAAATACCCACAGAAAAAAATTAAATCAGACAACCTGACCCTATTTTGACAAAATCCTGAGGGAGGATTTTGCAATAGCAGCCACAACCACTTTCTTTGTGCCAAGGCCTGCTGTGCATCGAGATACTGCTGTGTTTAAGAACATGTTCCCACTGCCTTTTTGTAAGGGTATTTCTGGTAGATAGGAAAATATTGATTCAAGTCTCTTGAGAACTAAGTTCAGAAATGAAAGTCTTGCCCTGTTGTGGTTTCTGGTGTTGATGTTGTGGGAAATGGACTTCTGTAAATGTTAAAATGTCAGTTATGCATCTCTCGCCCAGGATTTTGAGGAAGGATGTTTTCTACTCACAAAATGTGATGCCATTCAAACGAGTCAACAGGAGATCTACCCTACCGACAAAGGAAGTGTAACGGTGTCTTTCTTGTCAGCTATGTTCAGACCTTTTGTGGAAGGTTACCAGGTATGTTGTCCTTTAGAAAATTATCTTTCTTTTTTTCCTGTGTTTTATAAAGGAAGGTAGGAGAGCTGTGATACTTCTGCAGCATAAATAGTGACTGTTTTCATGGTGGGCAAGTGCAAGAGTTACAAATAGCAGTAAAACACCACCCCCTCCCTGGGATCCTGATTTTAGCTTTTGACTCAGCCTTTTCCAGTTACTAAAGCAGTAACTATCTTGTAGTGTGATGGCTCATTGTAGGTTTTTAGGCTTCATGGGGAGTGTGCTGCTACCAGATTCATTGTTCTTTTTTACGAGGAGCTCTTGCTTAATTCATTTTATGTGGGCTGGCCTCCCAGGTGTGGAAATGAGTTTGCATCTCCTGTCTGATAGCTTTTATGGGAGTCATTAATCACATCTGCATCTCTTTAAATTCTTATGATTTTCCAAGGTTTTAAAGAGATTAAACACTTACATTCCTGTAGTAAGCAATGTATACAAATCCAGGAGGCTAAAATCTCAAGTATGTCAGCACAGGATTGGTGGACTGTAGATGTTTAACATAGTGGAATCTCTTAATGATCTGATGTGTGACTTGGGCCGAACTGTACTGATTAGCCCAGTTTTCCCATCTGTGAAACACATATTGCTTTAAAAAAATTAAACTTTTTTATTGTTAGAACAGGAATGTTAAATTAATGTCTGAGGTAACTATTATGGAAATACTGAACCTTATTTTAATATTGGGATTCTCATGCCTGTAAAACAGTAATAAAACTTTCAGATGCCCTATGTAGTGACCTTTTGAGTTCCTCTCCTACACTTTTCAAAGTGGAATAGTAATACTCACAAGGACATGTCTGTTTGTAATTCATAACAAGCTGACAATCAAAAAGAAAGGAATGCTAATTTTCTTTTAAATGTTAGTTAATTTTCAGATACCTCTCAAAGGAAATGAAAGAAGCATTTACCGAGAAGCAGTTTGTACCTGGAGTCCGCAACTTTGTTTTTCAACTTCTTGAGAAGGGTGTGTACAGCTGTTATGCAATATGATTTTACAAGAGTAGCCTGTTAATAGAAAATTATAAAAATTTTAATTGTGTTTCTGCTCTCTCCATAGGGGTTACGCAGTGTTACGAAGCCCTGTCTTCTGACATGCAGAAAAATGCCTTAGCAGCTCTTGTGCAACTAGGTGCTGTGAAGAAAAAGAAAATGTAAGCAACATTGGCTTTTTAATCTGTAGAAGTCAGTGTGTAGTTTTAGTGGCAATTCTTAATGTCTGAACTCTTAGTATGAAACTAAACAGCAGAACCCCAACTGCCTGAGCACCAGTCAGATAGTGGTTGACTGGATTTCTGGAATCATAGTGAAGACCTAGTAGTTCCTTTCTGTACAAGCAGAATGGCACATCCTCATAGTGAAAAGACTTCTGTAGGACCTCGCAACATTAACTTACTAGGAGGCTGCTTCTAACTCCCTTTACCTTTTGGTTTTCAGATTTTCTCCCAAGGCTCTGATAAGCAGAAAGAACAGAACTGCTTATTTGTAATAGGAGAGTTACTCTGTGTGTTACAATAAGCCTTGTCAGGCAATGTAAGCAAAAGTCGGGAATACTGCTAGCTTTGGGGGAGTTCAGCACTGCCATCTCAAAGCAATTTAACTGAAAGCTTAATCATTAAAGTCTTTTAACAGTTCATAGTTTTTAGGCCTAAGATTAAAATCCACCATTGTTATACAAAAGTACGATGATACACATTATTGTGTTATCAAATTAATTTGTGTTGTGGTGCTTCTTACTGTATTTAAAAGTATGACCAAGGAAGTCCCTGCAGTGTCTTGAGTGTTTCACAGAACATAGTTGTCAGGTGATGACCCTGAGCTATTTCCTTATGCCTCTGTTCAGGAAATGAATAGATTAAGGTTTGTAATGCTCTTGAAAAGTGCACAAAGTACTGTAGTTGTTATGTCCCCTGCCACGGCACTGTGCTAGATAGATGTGTATAGCAAAACTGCACTTTCAAGTAAAAGGAATAAATTGCGTGCAACAAAATTTGACACCAGATCAATATTTGGTTCAGTTTCAGAGAGTCTTGAAAAATACATGATTGAAAACAAACAATTGTTTTCTTCCTGCAGTTGTCCCCTGTTGAAATTGAGGGAAGTGGGAGGCATGGGGACTGTGAACAAGAGAAAGGATAAAGAAAGCATAACTTTTCTTGAGTAGAAGTCTGATGTCCTTAAATTTAATAGTAATACATAAATATTATGTAATTGTGAAAATGTTTTAAGTCAGGTTTTAATTCAGGTTTAATTCATATTTGTGTAGAAATTACTGGAATAAGAAATATTCATTGAAAAAACTTTTTTTTTCTTGTAACTGTAGGTCGAATGGATTCACTTACAATGTAAATCAAGAGGCTGTTAGTAAAATCCTGGACACGTTTGGTAAGTGTTCTCTAATTAATTTGAAGAGAGCTTATCAAGTTATAAATTCCTTTTGGACAATGCACATACATTCAATGTAGTGCTTTTTCCCTAGTAATTCCATAGATTTAACTGTGTAAAAATCCTAGTAATATTTTTTTTACAATACTTTCTCTGGTGTCATTGGCTGCAGCTTTGAATCTCCCTTCTTTATTTCACATACTGTGCAAACCAATGACCAAGAGAAATAAAGTAACAAGTAGTTAAATGGCATGGTGTTTGTAGCAGGTTGATCAGAAGTGTTTACCCTTTTTTTTGTTAGATGCTCGGATACCTGTACAGAAACCTGTGGCTGCACGACTCTAAGTGGTTCCTGATACTGTGAGTGGATGTAAGTGCCTGCTGAGAACACGGACCACTGCCTTGCTGGAGCAGGGATGGGAGCCAGCAAGGTTCCCCTCTTGCCCAGCCAGCCTGCAAGCTGGGAGGCAGAGAGGTGTTTTACAGCTGGGCAGCTCTCCATGACAGCTTAGGAGTTGCTGCTGTGAGGGTTAGAGTTGTATTTGTATCCTCACTATCTTTTGTTTTTTAAAACAAATTAAACATTGTCTTTTTTTTTAATGATAAGTATTTAAAGAGACGTGAACAGTAATCGCTACCTAAATACGTTTTCCTAGACTTATAACAAGGAATGTGATTGGTTTGAAATATTTCATGGATATGAAAATGTAACAGGGAGTTGAAAGACTTGCTGTTAATATTTAGAAAAAAAAACATTGTGGGCTGGCTAAATGCAAGGCAAGGCGTTCATAAGGAATGAAGAGCACAAATGAAACCTTGGGCAATAACCAGGACTGCTAATTGTGTTGCATTTTGTGTTTTGGTATTTTTTTGTTTGGGTTGGGTGTGGGTTTTTTTTTTAAAGCAACTTGGCATTATTTTAATTACTTCATGAATGTTATATTTAAACACTGAATTAAAGCAGCGCCGATAACGTGTCTGTCTATCATCTCTTCCCCCCCTTCCCATCGCTGACTGCGGTGCCCGTTACAGACCCAAAGCGGGAACAGGCGCGGGGGGAAGGGGAGCGAGGGGGCGGATCACGGGAACGCCGGGGGCGGGGCGGGCTGTTCCGGGGAGCGGCCGCCGCTGTGCGCGGGGCCCGGCCGGCGGAGGCATCATGGCTCCGGGAGTGGAGCTGGGTTTCGCGGCGGCGGCGGCGGCTGGGCCGGGCGGGACGTGGCGACTGCGCAGCGCCTACTTCCCCAGCAAGGTCGGGGGGCGGCCGGCGTGGCTGGGCGAGGCCGGGCTGCCGGGCCCCGCCGCCCTGCGATGCAGCCGCTGCCAGCGGCCCTGCGCCTTCCTGCTCCAGCTCTACGCGCCGCTGCCTGGCCGCTCCGACGCCTTCCACCGCACCCTCTTCGTGTTCGCCTGCCGCGGCCCCGCCTGCTACCGCGGCTCGGGACCGCGGGGGCCCTTCCGCGGTGAGGCGCAGGGAGGGAGGGAGGGGTGGAGGGGCGAGGGCGGCCGGCCGCCTCCGCGCTGACCGGCGCCTGTCTCCCGCAGTGTTCCGGAACCAGCTGCCGCGGCGGAACGACACGTACCCCGAGGAGCCGCCCCCCGAGGAGCCGCCCCCGGGCCCGGCCCCCGCGCCCCCGGTGCGGCTGAGCAGCGGCGCCGCGCTGTGCCGCGTGTGCGGCTGCCCCGGGCCGCGCTGCTGCGGCCGCTGCCGCCGCGCCGCCTACTGCGGACCCGAGCACCAGGCGCTGGACTGGCGCCGCGGGCACCGCCGCTCCTGCGGGCAGCACCCGGCCGGAGGTGGGTCCGGGGCAGCGGAGACCTCCGAGGCGGGGGAAACCACGTGCTACCGGGTGGTTAAATGCTGGAGGTGTGCTTGATGCGCTCGTGGAAACTTTGGTTACTCACAGTATGCCATAGAAAAGTATGAGAAGTGTTATGGCCATCAGGGCACCTGATGCACGCTTGTCTGCGTGTGCTAGTTAGAAGGAGATGTGCACCGAGCTGCCAAGCTGCAGGTTTTGAGTTTTAAAAATGCACCGATCTGCGAAACTGCATGGTTTGGGGTTGTAAAATGCTGCTGCTAACACTGTTTAGTCTGCCTTCCATATCACTTAGGTTTACAGTATGTTCAAAGCAACATACCTGTTGTAGTTTTCCACTGTCCTTAATATAGTGTGTTTCTTACCTTCTAGTCCCATCTAGCAGTGATGTAAATCATTCTTGCTCATACCATGTTTGTACTGTATTGTTCCTACGTAGTTTGCTGTGTGGCTTTTGGGGAGAAGGACGTGAAATATGAGATGACGTTGTGAAGTGGTACCTGTTTTCTGTTTTGTAGATGACTCGGCGGATGCAATTCCAGAGCATAATGAATTCCTTTTTCCAGAATATGAAATTTTGATAGAACCTGAGGAACCAGAATTTCCTGATGACAGCACTATAGATCCTGGTGATGAACAAGGAGCTGTAGAGACATCAAAGGACCTGAAAGAACAAGAGGAACTTGGAGCTACAGGCAGCGCAGGTCAGAAATAAGATGCTGCCTGTAATTCTTCACAATTAAGTCTGTATCACATCTTTAAAATATAAAATACTGTGATTTTTAAGTGTTCATTGTAAACTACTGGTGAAAAAGGGCTAATTCTACACTCATTTATGGTGCAAGTTTGTTGTAGATGTTCCGTAATATAAGTTGCTTTTATGGGAGAGACTTAATAAGCCCTGACCCCAGAAGCTGTTGAAGCAGCTGTTGCTGCAGGTAGCTTGTAGTTACACTGTGTCCCTGCATACTTCCAATAGGTAAGGAACAACTCAACTGAGAAGGACAGGACCTTGAGCTGCTGGATGCTGTTGGAATTGGGAGATTAAATTAAACTGTCTTGGCTTGAGTTGGTTCCATTTGTCTTAATTTATGGAAAATGCTTAAAATCTCCTTGTCTGTGCTAGAAAAAAAAATGTTTTGAGGCTATTTTAATTGACCTTGAATTAAGCAATTGAAGTGCAGGCCCCTTCCTCCCTGCTCCCCCCAAATTCATGATGTGTTTGCAGCAACCTAGCTTTGCAACACTAGCTTTGAACACACCCAGGGTGAGAGTCTGTGGTAGTGCAGGGGAAGGATGCTGGGTTCCCAGCTGTGCCTTGCTGTGGTCCAAAGCTGTCTCAAGACTGTTTAGTGCCCTGAGTTGATATGAATGTTGTTGTGTGACAGATACACTGCTCAGCACTAGAAACTGAAGTCTGGCACATGCATGGCACTGTTGCCCTTTTTCAGATGTCATACCCTGAAGGTTCTGCAGTCTCAGTGATACCCACTGGGAGCCATAAACTGTAATCAATTAACTCCTTCCCTTTTCCAGTGTTCCAGTACTGACATCTATGTTTAAAATGCAACTAAAACTAGTAAATAAACCTGTGTGTGACCAAATTTTAACATGCACCAAAAAGAAAGAAATCTTTGAGTGATTTATGCAACCAATGATTTCTGAAGCAAAATGCATTTACAGGTGCTAATATAGTTTTTAATTTTTTACTGTATTGTATTAGCCCGTAACTTTTGTTGTTCTTTTTTCTTGTTCAGGTGAAGCACTTCAGTCCTTAGATGAAGAGACATTGGAAGCATTGGCAAAACGTGAGACTGAAGAAGACAAGATCTTCCAAATGTTTAAAGAAAAAGTAGCTGCTGAACCAGAGCAGGTCAGAAGATGGTGCGGCCTTAGAACTTTGTGGTTCTGGCACAGCATCCTGCTGCACCTGCAACATGTTTCACTGCCTTTTGTACCTAGTTAGAAATGGGGATGCCTCCTCACCCTCCACATACCTAACCAACACCCCCTCATTTCCTTATGTGCACATCATAAGTCATGCTGAAGTAAGAATTCAGCACCTGCTCATCTATCTCAAACAGAAGTTAGTCAGGATGAGATGGCACAGGGGTGCTGAACCCCCCAGACCGTGGGAAGACCTGCCATCCTGTGACGTGGTTCTAACCAAAGGACATGGTGAACCACTGCATTATTCCCTAGCCTGTGGCCCTGTTGGCTTTCCTTCTCAGCAGAAAGAAGACTGCAGAGAAGAGCTCTATCACTGTCACCAGCTGCACTGGGAGGTGGTTTGGCTTTTTTAAGATTGAAGAAATTAGTGATGGCTTTAAAATTTTTACTATTTCAAACAGAAATTCTCCCCTCATACTATTTCTTGCTATTACAAGAGGCTGAGTCACATTGTCAAACAAAAGCATGGTCCCTGGTTCCATTCAGAGGAAACACAGGCCTAAATCCATGAAAGTGGTGGAGGAAGAAAAAATTCTCTCAATTTTTTGCCTGGTACCTGAGGGGTTAAGGTACATATATGAAAAGTAGGAGACTTGAGTGTCTCCTCTGCTTTAGGTATGTGCATCGCCTCTCTCTGATCATCCCTGTACTGACTGATCTGCCCAATGTCCTCTTGTTGATAATGCCTGATTTGCTATGAACAGAAAAACTAAGGATATGTCTGAAAATGCCTCCTTCTTGAGCATTAGGACAATCCACTTGCATTTAGATGCATTACAAGAAGAGCTGGGTTGCATTCCTGACTTTGTGTGCAGTTCTGTGTGCTAATTATGAAGCTGCTCTTTCCCCATCTCAAGACTGTAACATACATTTCTGGGTCCCTTAATTAGGGAAATGCAAACAATTGGAATTTATCATTGCAATTTATCCCTGGATCATTGAAAAAGTGTTGCATAGTTAGGAAAACGCATATAAAACAACCCATCTTATTTAGAATACCACGTTTATAAATGATATTTTGCCATGGTTATTACTTAAAGGATCTGACCTTATTCTGCACTGTCTACAGCTTTGTCTAGCTGTAAATACCAATTTTATACCAAAACTAAAAGATAGAGCAGAAGTTTAAGTTCTTATTACTATTTCAGATTATTAGATACTGCAGAGGAGGAGAAGGCCCAATCTGGGTGTCAGGTGAAAACAGGCCTGAAGAAAAAGATATCCCAAATTGTTTATGTGGTGCCAAAAGGATTTTTGAATTCCAGGTATGTAAACTCATTTAAAAATAATACAGGTAATGTATTTCAGACTTAACAGGATCTGATTGTATAGGTGTTGGCTTGTAGTTACAGCAAGAAATTTGAAGTTGCTACATACTAACTATGCTAAATGATTGCACAGAGCCTTTATTTACTATTGTAACTGCTTTTTCCACCAGATAATTTGCACTATCCATAAAATGGTGCTCTTGTGAATATGGAACTGTCTCTTAAGTAACAGGAGTCCAGTATTATATATTTCAAAAAATAAAAGGCCTTCACGATGTGAATTGTAAATATGTCTGGCTGGAACTATTCAGCTGTAAAATTTTGAATGCTAGTGATGTATGCATGGTGAATACACTTAATGTCATGCAAATGGTTAAACATAGTCATGAAGGTGATTTCAAATGGAGTGAGGCTCAGAATTGGGGCAAGGCTTATAAGGTCAATTAAAACTTCTATAGATGAAGTAAGTAGGGCCATGCCTTTGATTCTCTAGGTATCTAATACACTGCTTTGGGAATTTCAAATTTATTTTATTTGAGCTGGTGCATGCAGTCGTTTCAACTGGGATTTGGTGTAAGAGGACATAAATTCTCTTACACCAAATGCAGGATCCTTCTTCAGAAAGAGAAGCAGGGAGAACGGAGAAAGCTGTGGCCTGCCTCTAAATCTTTTGGTTTTCTTTGAAGATTATGCCACAGCTCCTGAACTACCTTCAAGTTGACAGCCTTGGAGAGAGCATTGACTGGGGAACGCTGGTGGTGTACACTTGTGCTGACAACTGCGGTGGGGCACACGAATACCTGGAAGAGTTCATATGGAAACAAGACTATTCCGTGGGCCATGTTTTACCAAGTTGAGTCATCTAAATGGAATACTTGCCTTATTTCATTGTATCTCTGCACTGTGCAAACAGGTAGTTGAACTAGAAGTCACTGTTAACAGCGGATCTTGTAACAGTGATAAAACTGCTATAACTAGACCTCGACAGCCTCTCTCCTGTGCTCCGGGGAAGCTTTTATTTCAACCTGGTAAATGAAGCCAGATGTGTTTGTTCTGTGAGTTTCATTTCAAATCTCATTTCTCAATGTTTAAATAAAGATGAAAAGCTTTGGATTGGTGAAATTATCTTTTGTTGGTGATAGAACTTCAAAAACTTAGAAGACTGGTGTCTATCAGGACTTTGTGCTACTCAAAAATTAACATTCATTCAGAGAAAAGCAGACTACTGTAAACTCACTTTGCTTATGCTCAGGAGCTGTAGAGGAGTCATAGCTAAGAAAAGGTGCATAGCTTTTTGATGTGGAACTTAAGTCCACTTCTCTTTCTGAACAGGTGCACTCAGTCTAATTTGACAGTTCTTACATGTTCTGATTGAGTGGTTATTGGAGATAAAATGCACAAAATTAAGTGTTTTATCTGACTTAAACTATTTCTGCATGGGGCTAATAGTTTTAACTCAGTTATCTGGTGCAGAAGCAGTTTTAATAAAGTGAGCCATACCAGAACACATTTGTCTTGTTACATACTGCCTGCAGCAGCAGATTTTCAAGCTGAGTTGTACCTTAAGTCTGCCAGCTTTGGTAAAGTTTAAAAATAAGTGCCCTCTGCAGGGATCCTTCTGCTATTTGACAGCCTTATAGCTGAGGCAAGAGAAAAGTGAAACCATAATGCTGAGGTTACTGTGGTAGCTGCTTAACTACTCCTGTGGTTATAGCTACATTTGCAGAAAATGCTTTTTTGTGTGTGTCAGTATAGAACTGACTTCAGTTACATACTCCCTTATCCTGCTCCAACCATACATGGCTGCTTACCAGTGACTCTGAAAGTGATTTTATGAAAGTCCTAGGCCCACTGTGGGGTTTTTGAAATCATTTAGATGTTGAAAATATTCAAGTGAGCAGGCAGAGAATGCTGTACCTGTAAGTGGTTTTGTTGATGCAGGACCTAATTTCTAGAAAGGTAGTTTTAAGCCTCGGTACTTGTCATGAAACAGCAAACAGCATCTTAAGTCACTGTAGTACAGCTCAACTGATTTTACTGAAAACCGTCCCACAGTTACTTAGGGCTCCAGGCCTTCCTAAAGAGTTGAAGAGTTTTTCAGGTAAGTTGGTAATAGTTCAGGGTCCTGCAAAAGCAGGGACAGTCCTACAGTTATAGTCAAGAGCTCTCAGGAATGTTCACGAGCTCACAGCGCAGAGTGCTGTGGCACTGAAGGCAGTGTTTGAGTATCATGAACTTATCCTGGCACAGCTACATTATTATACAGCATCTTTCTGATAAGAATCATTAAATGAATTAATAAACACCTAGAGAAACACCGGTGTAGAGAAAAGACTGAAAATTAACGTCACTCAGGATTTGCAAATGGAGCAATATCAAAGCCAGCCAAAACTTCATGTTGTCTGGAATGAAACACCAACTTAGTAAAGAGACCATGGTTTACATTTGGGTTAGTTTTAAATAAAAGTTGTTTGCAATAACGTGCAAGTCAGAGAGAGTTTACTATTACTGAAAATTTACTGAAGAAAAAAAAAGTTTATTTTTAGTTCTCAGCCCGTTAAGCTTCAAGCATGGTTCAGAAGGAAGATTATGTACATACTGACTAGTCGGAAGGGCTTTGACATTTTACAGGAACACTAATATAGTGAGACTGTCATAGCTGGTAAAATACAAAAGTAGTAATTTAAAGAAATTCTAGGAGCTAAGCAGGGATCTTTTGTTCCAATTCAGTCAAGTGTAGCTATATAAGATTTGCCTAAATCCCATCTGTTGAACATAAGGCAACACATACTTGAACACAAACTTCTTTAACCAGTCATCTCTTTTAACATATTGGAAGTATTCAAGGTAGATGTTTCCAAGGATGTGACTGCTGGTAAGTAAGCCAGAGCATTGGTAAGATTCTCTCAAAATGACAAGTCACTTACAGTAGTGCATGTGCTATTAAAAAATCTAGATTAAATTAAAAAAAAAATCAATGTATTTCACTCTACCAGCTGGGTAATTTTAAAATGTATTAAGACAGTTCCCATAGTTGTATAAACAGGGTTTATTGTACATGTGGAGTTGAAGAAGGAAAGAGAAGAAAGGTATATATTATATATATATGTACAGTGAGCCATTTTCATTAATAAATTTATCCTATCTTGCTTAATACTGGAAAGAGGGAATGTGACTGGCACCAAAGAAATTTAAAGTTGAAAAAATTTAAAAGCTCAAGTTCTGAAAATTATAAAACCATGGTCTTACGGAAGGAACTTAAAACATATATACATGGCAATTTAAGTGGTTTATACACTGAGTGACACAGTTGCATTTGTCTTTAAACCAACTTACAGATTTCCTATTAATAGAACTGGCATTAAAACTATTTAAAAGCTAGGATATAAATAAAAATTGGAGGGACTGCTCTAGGAACAGCCCAGTAAAGCAACTCACAGTAACTCAGTAGACATATTCAAGAATACAGTTCCCCTTGACCATCAGGGAAGTAGGCACTAACTGGGAAATAGTCCAAGTCCTGATGTTGCAGTTGCACTGGAAGTCCGTCTCTTGTTACTGCTGTGCCATACACAATACCTTTTAAAATAGACCCCTGATTTCTCTGAAACATGTAGAAATTATTACGTTGTCTTTCTGAATCCCTTTAAAATAGGATAGATGTTTTCAAATGCTTCATAGATTTCTGCTCGTACTTTAGCACCTGAAAAAAGATAGGGAATTAAGTTAGTTTGTACCTTTCACCTAATACTCTATTTTAGCTTTTAGAATGTTTATTTTAATGTGACTCTATATAAAACCTACGCATATCCATAAATCCTTATTTTTACAATCTTTTTAAAAACATATTTCATAGAGAGCATACATTACCAGCCTTCTGTTTATTTTGTCAAGTGTTACAACTTTCATTAGCATCTCTGTGCAGATGCTATACTTGCAAATGGGATTATCCTATACAAAATTTCCACAGAAGACCCAACTACAAAGCACAGCCCTGCAGGATGTTTCTACAGAAAGGCCTAACTGATGGAGATTTTCTGAGTGTGAACATCTGTGGGAGGAAGGTCTGGCAGTGGAGACTGCTGCAGAGGCCTGCCCATTCCCCACACTGCAGGGACATGATTCTTTAGTCTGCCTGTCTTGTGGTTTGTTCTCCATAGCAAGACACAGTATGAGGGGAAAAGGAAGGGTGTAGGTGGAGTGTCTGAGGTTGAAGAGGTCCTAGAGCTCAGGTATCTCCCCTTCTTTGTCTGCTGTATCATGGGAGAATGGAAGCATCCTGCAGCCAAGCTGCCAAAGAACAGCTGGCTCAGTCACACATACTCAGCCCACAAAAACAGTCTTTCAGATTTTGCCAGAAAGATCACCTGCAGTCTTACAGCTTTTTGGGCACCTGCATACTACATTAGGATGCATGATCATTGTTCAAATGGATCTAGCCAAAGGTGGTATTGCTTCGTGCATTCTCATCTGTTAAGGAATACACATAATGCAGGTAACACATAGTGCAGGTAACACAGAGCAGGTAGCTCGGTGTGCAGCTGCAGCGCTGAGCTGCAGGTTGGGATGCAGACTGAGCTGTGTATGGCAGGACCCCCAGGCAAGAGGTCCCGTGAACTGCCAACCGTTTGTTCCGGGTCCCTCCTAGGAGGCACCCAGTTTGAGCTGTTATTTTGTTATTGCATCAAGATTAAACTGTACTATGGGAAATCTGGGGTGGAGCTGGTAAGGAAACCTTGTCTGACTGTGTGAGTGTGGTGTGTGTAGGAAGTCAAGTGGGGCACCTGTCGGCTCACTGGAGATGATCCGCTGCAAACAGGCTTTGGTCCTGATGCAGGTGGTGCTGGTGTGACTGCCAGAGTGGCTCCTGGATGGTTGGACAGGGAAGTTTCCTTAACATCATCCACAGAACATTCTACTAACTCTTCTTTCTCAGTACTGTCATCTCTAAAGGAAAGTACCTGGCAGCTTATGTATCCCTGTGTGTTCTCTGTAATACAGTCTAAATCTCACCTACTGGAGTAAGATACTGTCTTGACTTACCAGTTAAAACCACTTTTCCAGAAACAAAAATAAGCAGTACAATTCTTGGCTTGATCATTCTGTAGATTAATCCAGGAAACAATTCCGGCTCGTAGCTGTAAGAGAAGAGAGTGACAGTGTTTAAACTTGTAAGCTTGTAAACACATGTTCCACTCTACCTTCTGCAGGACTGGGCAGAGCAGATGTAGACTTCACTGAAACTTGGAGAGGGTAGTGCGGAAGATCATTTTGATGGTTTCATAATGGGCAGCCTCAGCTGCACCTAAGGCAGCGCAGAGATGGGAAAGGTGCAAGGGAATAATCTAAACAGATGTCACTCTCTAAGCTAGCTAGTACGCAACAGGAATGAAACACAAGCAAGCACTTTTTTACCTGCTGAACTGCTGGTGTGTGAGTACCAATCCTTCCAGTCTGATGGGAAATTTCACATCGCAGCTGCCCACCATGTTCTGAATTTTAAAATCCAAAAATTTTGCTGGAAAGCCCAGTTTCTGAACAACTCTTGCATACTTCCTTGCTGCCAGTCTGGATTGCTCCTCACTGAAGTGAGAAAAGGATATCTCTATTATTGCCTCAGTTGTGTATTACTTGAAGCAAACAGCATTGGACCACAAATATCTAACTGGGAGAAAAATGGCTGTGTGGAGGGAAAGGGAAGGTCACATGCAAAATTTTGGTATCTAAAATTAACAAGTAGCACTGGTTTTCATGCTCATTTTGGTAGTAATATCCTGGACACCACTAGTGTTACACTCACTGTTTATGAGGCACAAAACAGTAAATTATAAATCCATATATTTCATACTTTTAAAATATTGACCAGAGTCCCTCTAATGGGACATGAAAACTGTTATGTAAGTTATCACCATAGAACAACTTCGAACTACTACCGCTAGAAAATATGTGTTTCTATAAAAATCTCTCAACTGCCAAAATCCTCTACTTGGCTGAGCCCAGGAATTCGAATGGGTTTAACACAACTGCACAGCCTTACATGGTGTTACAGAATTCAGTTTGTTTCAGGTTTGTAAACAGCTGTAGATCTAGTTGTTCCTGATGCAGAGTAGGACAACTTGAACTTCAGGTGTCACCAGGCAGAGAAAATGTTTCCCTGTACAGCTCTATTCATTCATCTCTGCTCATTAGCTTATTCCTTCTGGATTCCTAGCAGAGTTCTTCAGAGGAGAATTTCTCTTCTGGCCACCAGAGTTAAACTTTTGTTTAGTTTTCAATTCTTGTGCTTCAATGATCATGTTAAGACCTATCTAACTAAGATCAGACATCAGGGACTAGAGACTTGGAGCTCTTATCCTATGAATGAAACTATTCAAATATAAAAACCATCTGCCGCCACCCCTACAGTTTAAGCAGTTTCAGTGCATAGTCACTGAATTTTTAAATTATTAGAAAAAAACACAGATAACTGAAGAGCGAAAAACCTGAATATAATAACCTCTGCAACCCAGTTTATTAGACTGGATGAAAGAGCTTCAGAAATAGAACTACCATTTCCCCTTTAGTTGGGAAGTCCCTTTAGTCATGAAAAGACAGTTTGCATAGCAATGTGTATTACACAAACAACTGTAAAAGCAACATTAGTTCTACCTGCATGACTTTGATGTGTATATATATATATATATAAATAATATTACTTCTAAAGCATCATGGTACATGAGAAGAGACAGCCTGAATTAGTTTGCTTGTAGTGCCTAAACATACCTTTTTGCTCCTGTGCACACCATTTTTCCAGAGCTGAATATCAGTGCAGTAGTACGTGGTTCTCTTATTCTCATAATAACAGCAGCAAAACGCTGAAATGTGAGCGTTGAGACTATTAGTGATACATTGCTGTAATCATTACATTAAAACCAAAACTGCATCATCTAAGGAGCAAGTTACACTGTAGTGTAAAGAAATACTAAATTCAAACATACTTACTGATCACTCAAAGTTTTCTTGAAATGCTTACATCATAAGTAGCTTCAAACACACACAATGAGAGGTAGAGCCAGGCAGGAATTTACCATTATTTACCATTGCATTGCTATTTTACTAAGTTAATCTCTCATTACTGTACATGCAACATATAAATAATGCTAACATTTGCATCAGAGTAATAGAGACAATTTAAAAAATAAATTTAAAATATTTCCTCCAAATGTCTTGAAATTTGATCTGTTGTAAGCATGATGGAAGACTATCTGCAAAAATTTTATGATCTGTTTTGTTTCTGTGTCTTAAAAAAAATTGGACAGCGTTACAATAGCAGCAAACAGATCAGCTGGAGATCAAAGTTCTGTGTAAACAGAAGTCACCTTGGCTACCACAGTAGGACACAGCAGCCTGATTAGCTCTACCTTTTTATTCTAAGTAAGCATTTCCAAATTCTTAAACTCCTTGAAGCTAGAGATACTGGAAACTGATATGGGCATACACAGACAAGTAAACCCTTCTTTGTTGTATTTAACTTGGACTAGCTCACCATGCAGTCCCATGAATTGTTCTGCTGACATAACCAAGGCGGTAGCGTGGGTTACCCAACAGCACATTTGTCAAAATATGTCTTAAATAGTACAGGCAAGCAACATCTTTCTGTGATAGATGAGTGTACCGACTAAACGTCAGGAGTGTGTTACATAACTCTCCTTTCTCTCTGACATGGAAAACAGTATTTTGCATTGATTATTCTAGCCTACGAGTTTTACACAGCCACCTACCCTCCTACCTTAGGAGTCACCAGGCATGCTCAAGTTTTTGCGGCATTAGTATCTTACTCACAATTATGTAACAGCATCACTGATATAATCTTAGAGTAACAGTTATTTATGACATATGCCTGCTTTAACCTTTGATAACAGAGTGCAGGTAAACTGCAGCAAAGTCCTAAATACTAAAATAAAAAACCCCTACGCCCCAGGAAAACTGAAGCCTTCCCAAGGTTAACCAATTCAACTACACAACCTAAACTTTTATTAGTATCCAGCTACTGTGGTTGCAAAGATAACATTTCCAAGAAGAGCCACCCAAAAGAAAAATGTAGCGACATAATTTTCCTGATTTAACACTCCAGGTCCTCTGCTGTTGTTCAAGGTTTCCGAAGCTAAAACAACCCCACAGTTTAACAGACTACCACTTAGAAGTGGCAGGCAACTTAAAAGTCCATGTGCAAAAAAATCAATTTCCCTTCACTGTTTCACCAAACTTAGCCATCAGAAGCAATGAGATGGCAGGAGTACTGGAGAGAACACAAGGGAACAGAGGGGAACTGAGACTGAAAAATGAGCAACTGCGCTGTGACCACAAGAATTCCAAGGGAGCAGCTAGGTGGAAGAAGCCACAGAGCATACAGAACAACCATGTCCATATGAACAGTAGCAGAGCTACCACAAAAAGCATGGCCAGTGTACTACACTGTTGGTTGGGTTCTTCTACCAAATTACAACCTGGTGCAAATCACAGCTACTTCAGTATAAAAATGCTTTTTACTAATTTGACAGAATGTTCTAAGTTTATTAAAGATTTCTTTTTAAACTATAGTATAAAACTGCATCTCTAGCAGGAAAGTTTTTCGGTCTATTACAGAAACCTGCAGCCACAACCTTTGATATACATTTCTCTTACCTTGGGATTATATTCAGCATTTCGGGCACGAAGCGCAATAGTTTTTAGGTCAAGTTTGCAACCAAGATTCACTGTGGACACAATATTCCTGAAGACAGGTGAGAGAAATATATTAAAAAGACAATAAGGAATTCACGTGTCTTCCTCATTTTTAACAAAGCTTAATTGATTTTACTTTTTCATTATTTTGTTTCTCCAAGTGAGTTTGAATGACATCTTTCCTACTAACAGGAGCACCAAGCAGTGTTTTGACTCAGGAACCTCCTTTCGTAGGGCACCAGTTCCTAAGGCATGATTGCTGATTCCTCCTTTTCTACCAGCTATTATGAAAAGTGTCCCATGAGAAGAATCTCTATTTCATTTTGGCTGGAAAAATTCTTGATTCTGAGAGCCCTTACCACAATCAGAGAAGCTGCTGGAAACAGGAGAAAATGAGGTAGTACCATCTGAAATTTTCCTTGCTATGCCCTTCAAGGAAGAAGGTGCAGAACTAAATGGGAATGGCACAGGAGGTAAATCCATTGCCCGGAGATGGGATAACAGGTCTCTAGAAAGTTTAAAAGAAGTTCCTAGATATAAAATTTTGTTTTCTGGGAAAATCCTGAAATTTCAAGGTCCTCAATGGTGGGGGGGTGGGGAAAGAGGAATATGAGAAACTACTCTTTCATTTCACCTTATCCATCTCACTTTGTCCCTTCCATAAATTTCTGAAGAAGTCTCTTTAAAACTAAAGTTCAATGAAAATACTTCCATACCTAAACTTAGAACTAGTTCTAGAGTTTTCTTCCCTTCTTACAAACTCAGTGTTACCCATGCACTAGAAAAGGGAACATGATGAACTCCTAAAGTGCATAGAGTTAAATTTACAGTGGTGTTAATGGAAGACATATTTTACACCCTCCACTGTTATACTTAAAAGATGTAGGTTGACAAATCACTAAGAAACTGTTTACATTATTAAGTGGTTTAGGAATGAAGCTAAGCTAAAAATAAAAGCAAAAACTACTCATATTGCTACAGGAGACCCATAAATTCTGAGTCCTCCGTTTCCACCAAAATGCAGTACCCAATTCCTGATGTGACTTTGGTCCTAAGTCTTTAAAAGGCTATCTGAGAAAGGATACAATGCACTAACACACGGGGCACTCACTGTAGTTGTGGCACTATCCCAGAACTCTCTGATGCTGGTGTTGCAGGAGTTATTGGTGTCATCGGAGTCATTGGAGAGGGGTACAGAGGTGTGGTTCCTGGTAAAGGGGCTGTAGTAAGAGTCTGTGAATGGAAGAGCTGGGGAGTTTGACCAGATGTTCCCTGTGTCGCTTGCTGTGACGTAGATTGCTGTGCTGCTTGTTGCTGCTGCTGCTGCCGCTGCTGTTCCTCTAATATAGACAGACTGTTGGTGCTCTGGACAGGCTGTGGTGTCAGTCCTGTGCCATATGGCATCATTGGGCTAAAAATGGGAATTCCTGGAGTCATTGCACCCTAGAGAAGCAAACATGAAAGAGAAATCACAGATCATGTTGATTCCATTTTGTTTTTAAGAGACAAAGTTTTCAGAGGGAGTCTAAAAATAAATCTATGTAAATTGAGTTGATGATCTCAAACCTGGAGCACATAGTAGTAACTTGTTAAAAACAGAAAGTCCTTGGAAATGCTTTACAGAATAAAGCATAAACATTTTATAGAATAAAACACTACCCCTAGGGATCTGACATGTTTCTCACACTACCTTGCAAGCATGTCTCAACTTTGACTCACGATTTAATTTGCAATTGTTTGAACACAGACTGTGCCCATTTTACCAAACACATTCTTAGCCCAGCAACAATCTATTATGCACGTAGTTTAATGGGCAACCACCAAAATTAAATTAATCTTTCCAACTTGTCAGTCATGTTTCTACTTAGAGGAACCCCATGTATCTGCATGTTTCTTATACCTCTGGACATACACATTGAGGGTTTTACAATTCTGCTTTATACTAGTATTATTCGATACCTAGCAGAATTTTTCAGATCTGCAAATGAAAAAAACTGAAGTTACATGCAAGAAATGGAAAATGCTTTCACAAAAAAAAAAATCAGATAATAGTTGCATTTTAGATCATTTGCTTTTACCTGAGGGGAGGCTAAGCCTTGAGCGTAGGGTGGCAAACTGTTGTTCTGATCCATGATTCCAGTTATTTCTTTGGTGAGGCCAGAAGTATTTCCTTCAATTAATTTAAATAAACTTCAAATCCTAGAGGACTTTTAACCATTTAAAACATTCCAGCAAAGTAGCTTTTAAAGCCAAGCTGAAAGGTGCTAGGAAAACATCAGCTCCAGAGAAATATGTTGTGAGTCTAAAACACTAAGAAAAACCTGAAAAGAAAAAGAGTAATATCTTGAGAATAATATCTAAAAATAAAATGAAAAGCAAACCTATGAGCTGCTGACTCAGATAAAAGACACACACCCACATATAAATACATATAAGAAAATTCACGCATATGCACACACACATGCCCAATCCATAAAAATAACCTTTTTCAGGCACACTCCATAGAAACTTTGCAGCATGATTCTGCTGAAGTTCCTGGCAGGTTACCTGACCCACATGGGCAGGCTTCTGTCTAACCAAACCTTCCTGCACAAACAATTCAAGCTATTAATGCTCATTCTACTCTAAGCTTTGCTTTAGCTAGAAAAGCACAGATTTTTTTAGAATTTAATTCCCCTGACTACTAACCAAAAAGCTTACTGACACATTGCTTGTAAGTCTCTTCCTGACAATTTTAAGACTTGGGCTCTCAGAAATTATTTTTTTCTTCTATGAGAAAAGCATCACTGGTCAAATTAGAACTAGGAAAACCTCTTATCCACTTCCAATAGACTTCAAACAACAGTGACATGTGCTTTATCAGAAAAAAAAAAAAGTGAAAACTTATTTCAGGTGTACAAGTGAAACATCCATATGATTTGATTTTTTCAACTGTTGCTGTCTTACGGAAATAAACAAGACAAGTGAAGAATTTAAATTTTATGCTATCAACAATATAAAATATTTTCCCATTAATTTGTAAGTTTCTTAACTATTGCCTAGAAATACTCAAGGTCATTTTCAGGCCAGAGGTTGGCCACCTCAAAATCTGAAGAAAACTTATTCAGCCTTTTTTTTTTAAAGATATGAGAGCTTAGAATTACAATAATATTTACACTGCAGCTAAAAAGGTCTGCTTTTTTCTCCGTGACCATAAGATATTATGATCTTTACCCTCACTGAAGGTATCAAGCAGAGCACCCAGGTTTTATGACCTGGAGATAGGAGTACATTAAAAGCCTAGACATTATCCTGGAAGAAATAAAGCCAACTCCTCGACAGCCCAGCTGTTTGGTAAGAAACCAGGATACCAGGCATGCCAAAGCCTGCGGCGAGGACACCGGCTACGCAGAGGCCCATCTTGTAACCACCCAGCGAGGCTTGCCTGGATCGCCACTACAAACGCTGGGAAACGTTTTGGTCGAGGGAACAGAGTCCAAAAGCAGGAGACACCACGGAGGAGGCCCCGACCCACCTCTGAGGCCCCGTTCGGGCTCCTTCCCCAACCACACAGCAGCGCTGGGCATGCGGCCACCGCTTCCCGGTGCCCTCCAACCCCTCTCGCTCCCCATCCAGCATTGGCCCCGGCGCCGCGCAGGATCTCGCCCTGCCCGCGCCCAGCCCGCCCCCGCCGCCACGGTCGCCGCTCGCCCCCGAGCCGCGCCGGAGCCCCGCGGCGGGGCAGAGCAGGGCGGCCGGGGGAGAGGAGTCCCTCCCCACTTTCCCCGCCGCGGCTCAGGCCGCCGCGGAGGCGCGGTGCGAGCCCGGCCCCGCACACCGTCCCCGCCCTCCAGGCCCGGCCCGGCCCGGCCCGCACCATCGCGGCCCCGCCGGCAGCCACCACCCCCTCCGCGGGCAGCGGGCGTGCGGCGGCCGCGGCGCCCGGCGGAACTCCGTACCTGCTGCCCCGCTCCGCTCCCGCCGCGCTCAGCGCCCGCCGGACCACGGCCCGGCCCGCCCCCGCCCCCCCGGCGCGCTCAGCGCGTCACTTCCCGCCGCCGCCGGGAGAGGAACCTTCGCTGGGAAGAACGTTCTGAAATTCAACAAGGGCAAAGGCGGGGTCCTGCACCTGGGGAGGGGTAACCCCATGCACCAGTACAGGCTCGGGGCTGACCTGCTGGAAAGTAGCTCTGCGGAGAAGGACCTGGGGGGTCCTCGTGAACAGGGAGCTGTCCGTGAGCCAGCAGTGTGGTCTTGTGTCCAAGAAGGCCAATGGTGTCCTGGGTGCATTAGGAAGAGCATTTCCAGCAGATCGAGGGAGGTTATCCTACCTCTCTACTCCACATCTGGAGTACTGTTTCCAGTGCTGGGCTCCTCACTACAAGAGAAACACGGAGCTCCTGGAGCGAGTCCAGGGATTAAGGCACTGGAATATCTCTCTTATGAGGAAAGGCTGAGGGAGCTGGACCTGTCCACCCTAGAAAAGAGATGACTGAGAGGAGACCCCATCAATGTGTATAAATATATAAAGGATGGGTATCATGAGGATGGAGCCAGGCTCTTCTCGGTGATGCCAAGTCATAGGATGAGGCAATGGGCAGAAACTGACGGACAGGAAGCTCCACGTGAATGTGAAGAACTTCTGTATTGTGTGGGTGACTGTGCACTAGAATAAATTGACCAGAGAGGTTGTGGAGTCTCCCTCATTGGAGATATTCAAGAACCATCTGGAGACAGTCCTGTACCATGTGCTCTTGGATGATCTTGCTTGAGCAGAGAGGTGGCCCACTGTGGTCCCTTCCAGCCTGACCAATCCTGCAGTGCACGAGACCTGGTCGCAGGGGCTGTGCTGGAGGTTGTTCCCCGCATTATAGCTGTACAGACTTACACACTGCAGTGCTGCACTGGTGGCTCTTGCTGCTGTCCGTGCGCAGCATTCATGGAGGCTGCAGCCTCTGCAGCTGTGCTTCCCAAGCAGAGTGACACGCTTCTCCAGAACACCACATGTCCCCTGCATCTCCCCATCCCCGTCCTTCTCCCCTAGCACCACTTCAAGCTTCTATCCCAGCTCTTCTCTCGTTTCCACTCATGCCATGGCACCTGGCACCGCAGCTCATGGCCCACCTCAAGGACCTGGTGAGACCCCATCTGGAGTACTGTGTCCAGCTCTGAGGACCTCAGCACAAGAAAGACCTGGACCCGTTGGAGCGAGTCCAGAGGAAGGCCACCAAGATGCTTAGAGGGATGAAGCATCTTTTGTACAAGAAAAAGCTGAGATAGTTTGGATTGTTCAACCTGGACAAGAGGAGGCTTTGGGGTGACCTAATTGCAGCCTTCCAGTACCTGGAGTGAGCCTACAATAAAGACAGGGACTTTTTACAAGAGCATGTAGTGACAGGACAAGGAGGAAGGGCTTTAAACTGAAAGAATCAGTTTAGATTAGATACTAGGAGGAAGTTCTTCGCTGTGAGGATGGTCACTGGCACACATTGACCAGAGAAGTTGTGGATGTCCCATCCCTGGCAGTGTTCAAGGCCAGACTGGATGGAGCTCTGAGCAACCTGGTCTAGTGAAAGGTGTCCCCATCCATGGCAGCAGGGTTGGGACTACATGATCTTTAAGGTCCCTTCCAACCCAAGCCATTCTGTGATTCTCAACCCTTGGTCTTCACAGCAGTTCTCAAGCTGCTCCCTCCTATAGAGCCAGAGCCACCCTGGTCCCCACCTACCCAAATACTAGATGCTCTTTGATGACTCCACCACAGCTGCTTATCAACCTGCGCGTTTCCAAGAGCGGGCACGCAGATGTCAGGGGCTGGCAGCGCTTAGACAGGGGAAGAACCGGTGCCTGTGCTGCCAGGAGGGCCCAGGCACACACCGAGCTGGTGATGGGGGCGGCGGAGGGAGGGAGCGGGTGATAGCGGGGCACGGGCGAGCGCCTCCCCCACAGCGGCCCCGCAGGCCGCCCGCCGGGGCACGGCGCTCGCCGCCCGGCAGAGGAGCCGAGAGGAGGCGGTGCTGCCGTCCCAGAGCGGCTCCGCTTCCGCCTCCGGTGCCGCCATTTCGCCGTGAGACAGCACCGATGGCGATGTTGTCCGCTGCGGGATACGGGCCCTCCCGGCCTGAGATGGGCTATGAGCTGGATGGGCCCGTACAGCATTACCGCTTCTCGCCCTACACCTTCAACGGAGGGTGAGCAGCCGCAGGCAGCGAGCGGTCCGGGACGAGGCGTCCGGGGGAGAGTGGCGGTAGGGCTGGGGCTGCCGCGCCTTACTCCTGCTTCCCCCCGGTGCTCAGGGCGGGTTTCTCTCCCCTCAGCAGCTCCTCCTTGCAGAGAAAGAAGGGCAGCACGAGGGGTAGCAGGGCTCGGCCTTGCCCTGGGTCCGTGCAGCCCTTCGGGTTGTTCGTGCGTGGCTTTTGGCACACTCGGACTCCCTAAACAGTTATTGCTCATAAAATAAGCACCTTTTCTTCCCCGTGGAACGTTTTTCTGTGCCTCAGGAAACGTAGGAATCGGTCATATTACAGAGTCGTAGAATTGCTAGAGTTAGAAGGGACGTCTGGAGATCATTCGGTCCAACCTCCTGCCAAGGCAGGATCACCTAGAGCAAGTGACAAAGGAACGCATCCGGGTGGGGTTTGGATGTTTCCAGGCAGGGAGACTCCACAGCCTACTTGGGCAGCCGGTTCCAGTGCTCTGCCACCCTCAGTGTAAACAAGTTCTTCATGTTGAGGTGGAACTTCTTGTGTTTTAGTTTATGGCCATTGCTCCTCATCCTGTCGCTAGTAAACATGTAACTGTTGAACGCTGCCTTGCTGTACCTGTTTAAGGCAGGTGATGTTTTACATATCTGAGGTGGTGGCAGGATCTGGCGAGGACAGTGTTATTTGTTTTTTTTCTTATAGTACCTAACTACTTTTTAAAGGGTATCCGTTACTTAATGGTAGTACACCTGTGGGAATTACAAAACTAGTTGTTTGGAAGTCAATAAGATAACATCAGATTTAAAAAGTGGTGATAATTTAAGTGTACTGATACTGTTGCTGAGTATTTTGCTTGTTTTAGAAGGGTGAGTCATTATCAGGCATCTAAAAGACTTGGTCTATTGAGTTTGTTTCTTGCCTGGTGTAGGGACTCTGTTTTACCAAATTTCCATACAATTTTTAGTCAAAGTAGAGGGTCACGTACATATATTTTCTTCATTGAGTCTGTTATCTTCTTATGTTGGTCTTGGGTTACATGTAGGGATGTGCATAGAGGGGAACATAGCAAGGAATATAACATGCTTGACAAAATGTGACTCTGGGTATAGAATTCCTACCTAGTCAGTTTCTGTGTTGCCTAAGAAAATATTTGTGCTGAAACTCATGATTATATCAATACTCTTCATTAAGGACTGTGCTGGCAATCGCTGGGGAAGACTTTTCTATTGTTGCCTCTGACACGCGGCTCAGTGAAGGCTATGCAATTCACTGCCGGGACAGCCCAAAATGCTACAAGCTGTAAGTCCAGATCTTGCAAAAATTGAAACAGATGAAAGATGTTTTGTATTGCTGACCATGTCACCTGCCTCCTGCTTTAAGTAGAATTCTTACACAAAAAGCACAGTAACAAAGTAGATTTTGGAGTCATGTCGAACATTGCGGTAATTCAGGATGTGATGTGATGTTGTAAAGATAGCTAGTGTTGCATGCTCTTGAAGTTAGCTGATAACAGAAGTATTTTAACATGATACAAGGCTTAATGTAAGCTAGGTGGTGGGTTTTTTTGGCTGGATAATCAGAAGAACTTTGGTGTTAACTGTAGCCAAACTTAATCCTGTGGTAACTCATTCTGCTTCGTCAGGGCACCTGGTGTTAGTACGCAAGTGTGCCCCCTGCAGTCAGTTGTACAGTTTCTTTCTAGTTAAATACCTGGCACTTTGGAGAAGTGTTTGTTTGAGGAAAGGTAAACCTGTCAGTAGTTCCATTATTGAACTTTTTATGCTCATTTTATGCTTTTTTGACTCACCTAGATAGCATCTCCTTGGTCTAAAACTACATATTGTTTACATTCATTCGACTGCAGCAGGTGTTTACCTAGTAGGCTGCCATCATTTTTTGATTCCTTTTTTCTTTTCTTTTTTCTTTTCTAAATTGTTGACACAAGATCAAAGGAACTTACATTTCTCCTGGCTAACTCCTTAGTATATCTTTGACTCTCTGATACTGCCCAAATGGAAATTGCATACTGCACATGATGGCTTTGTGTAATTCTAGTGACAGGCTGAGAGAAGATTGCATTTTAAGGTGTTTTCTGAAGGACTGCTTTGTGTTAGTCTGTATGTGTTAATGTTTGTAGACTCCTCTTTACTAGAATTTAAATTTCAAGGGTGTGTTGCTGTGGCTAGCGTTCATGAAACATTTTGAAACTGAGCAGAGAGCTAAGCTTTTGTAATGCATCTGCAGCCAGATAACTTCTGTTGCACTGACACCATAAATGTCATGTAACCATTGTACAAGCTTAATGCAGCCCTCTGGTCCGATGGAGTAAAATTTGGACCGA